GTTCTAACATATTTCATGGTCCAAATCCAAGCCCAAGAGGAGGAAGATTGGGGCCCAAAGGAGAGACCAAAGGGGGCATATTAGCATGCCCAAAGGAGCTGAAAATTAAAGCCCAAAAAGGCTGAAATTGTGCCCAAAAACAGGAGCTGATTCACGCCCAAATTGAGTGCAAGTTTTGGTGCATATTTTGTCACTTATTTCTTGTTTTGTTAGGGAAGAAGTTTGGAATTATTTTACATCCTTTCCTAGTTAGGGTTTAGCATTTGTAATTTCCATAAAAGTATGATTTGAATCTCCTACTATTAAGGATAGATTTCCCCTATATATAGGAGTGAATTTTGATATTTTTCATAACAACATTATTATTATTTGAGAGTTTCTATTTTTACATCTCTGTGTATTGGCTACTTGAAATTTATTTACAACGGTTAGAATAAGAGTAGAAACAAGAATAGAATTGTAATGCCCCGCAATTTCTAAGCATAGATCCGAATCTTGCTCTGTATGCATATAAACTTGAGCCCGAGGATTTCAAATTTGTACGTGTATTAAGGTCCTCTACTAGGTGTGTGAAGTGTATATACTGTATAGAATGTGGTTTAGGGTCATAAGAAACCTCTAGCACTACATTGAGTTCAAAGCCTTTCTATCGGCTAAGTTTTTTGCAAGAGTTAATACAAAGGTCAACTTCAAATGACCATATATCTCGGAATAGTAAGAGTTAGGTGACCAATGACCTATCAAATTAAAGGTCTACGAGTCTTCTTTCCAATGCCACCGACCGCTCGTCAATCTAACTCTTGAGTAAAATGTTATGAGCATTTTACTGAAAGACTACTAGAATGGCAGTGTGCGCCGCACCAAGACAATTTTTATGTGTCCGCGATTTTAAGTTGCTCTATTTATTAATTTAAGTTGGGGGTTCACTTGGGCACTCATCTTGGACAACTTCTGGTTTATTTTCTCTCAAATTCTCTCCTCTCCTTCATCTCCAACACCAAGGTATGTTCCTCATATGTATCTCAAGTGCTTCTAAACAATTACAATCTCTAATCACGAATTCTTAACAATATTCTAGCATCAAATACTCCCTCTCACATCTAGTGAAAACAAGAACTCATCTCAAGGTACAAGAAGCGACTTTTGGGGTTCCTCTTCAACGTTAGAGTTTCAATTGGAGTGATTCAAGGTATGTAGGACTCCAATGAGGAATTTCTTTCATCCTCATACCCAAAATTTATCATGAATTCAATTCAATAGTAAGGGTTTATAAACCCACTTTTAAATTCACCATTTTTATAATCCAATTGCATCATTTCTTAAATTACTTACTCATGATTATGAATTTTGACTCTTATATTTCCTTTTTATGCTTAGCAAGGTTTTCTATTGTCATCCCTACTAGTTCTTGACATGATTTTTGTCTATGATTCTTGAAATTTATATTTTAAACATGATTTTAGCGTCTTTATGTTATTGTGAAAATTATTTTGAGAATCTACTAGTTATGCATGTTCTAGAAAATTATTATCATGATTTGAAAGATATGTTTCAGAAAAAGATTTCAGCACATGATTTTAGAAAGCAAGATTAGAGCTTCGTATAAGTTTTAGAAAGAGATTTTGAACAAGACTCATGATAAGCTTCTAGATAAGCTTAACAGATATTTTATTATAAGCTATATGGTTAGTATGTTGTGGGAGTAATATTTAGCACCGAGCAAACGAGGGTTCTACATAGCCCAAATTCCAGAACTATGTGCTACCGTAGGATTACCTTTCATCGTTTTATCGGTTGACCATTTGGCTCTGAGAGGCTCAGATTAGTGGATCCACATTAGACAGACACGGTTTATACCCTGACAAGGTATAGGGGAGCCCTCCCTAATTGGGATTGTAAGTTGATGCATCATGAGCTCACACAAAGTATGTCGGTTATGAGAAACTCCAACCTAAAAGATTTACTTAATTTATTTTATATTTTCTTGATATTATCAGTATAAGATTTTCAGTTATGCATCCTTTCAGATATGATATCAGAAAATATGGTCTCAGATATACATTTTTGTTTCTCTAATATTATGTCATGTCACAGTTTTGACTCTCAGTTCTTCGGTTATTGTTTGTGTATAACTCATGCTCAAATTTATAGTTCTTTCAGTTGCTTGTATAATTGTTGATCTCAGCCCTTACCTTGCATACCAATACATTCCATGCATTGACTCTATTTTGCACTACATCGTTTCATGATGTAGATTTCAGCACCCCTGATAAGGATTCATGGGCAGACGTTTCACTAAGTTCCTCTACTTTCAGCATTGAAGTGAGTCCTCGCATTCAGAGGACTTCAGTTGTGAGTCATTAGATTTTATTCACTTCAATTGTGTTAGCTTTCAGGCAATCCGAGGTCTTGTCGCAAATCGTTTATTTTTATTTTTTATTTTTTTATTTTCCTCGCAAATTGTTTTATTCAATTTAGAGGTTTCTAGACATTAGTACTCAATTGTAATAGACATATTCTTGAACTCTATTTCAGTTATGCTTTTGTTTATAGCTTCCACTTTAGTTTTCATATGATATGCTATGCCAAGGGTTAGCTTGGGATCACTTGTGGTTCCAAGTACCATGTCTCGGCTAGATTGTAGACTCGGGTCTAACAAGAATATAGAATACTACTCGCAAAAGGATTGTAATGTAGTGTCCTACTTGGAAAAGGAGTCCAATGTAGCATCTACAAATAGGGTTTCAATGTAATAATTTAGAGACACAATTCATTAATATTATATTATTATTCTCCAATATTTCTTGCATGGTATCATAGCTTCTACGATCCTGGTAGAGCATAAAAACAAAGATTTAACCGTCGGCGGGCGATTATAATTCATACACCTACCCATCTAGCCAATGATTATGTTCCCAAAAGTTGGCAATACTATATGCATGAAAAATAATCATCCTGAGAAGGAATGATTTGAGAAGCATCTGAGACAAAGAAAGTAGTCATCGTGCTTCTTTGTGGTGGCTTCTTAGATTTGATTTGTGTAGCACTATGCATCTTTCCGGTGACTACTTTCTCATATCCAATTTGTGTTGCACCATGCATCTAGTGACTACTTTCTCATACTTGATTTGTGTAGCACCGTGCATCTCTTAGGTGAATATTTTCTCATATTTGATTTGTGTAGCACTATGCATCTTTCCGGTGACTGCTTTCTCATATCTAATTTGTGTAGCACTGTGCATTAATCCTGACTACTTTCTCATATTTGAGTTACGTAGCACTGTGCATCATTTCGATGACTCCTCATATCTAATTTGCGTAGTTCTGTGCATCTTTTTGGTGACTTCTCAGATGTGACTTATGTAATTTTACTTTTCGTCAGTGTTGTACGAAAACCAACACCACCAAAAGGTACCGTGTCTCCCTGCGATAAAACTACAACCAGCGCCACTATGAATTGACCTCCTATGGACTTCACACACTGCCCAGGAGATCATCACCTTTGATGAGATCTGACCATGCATCGGCGTGTGAGACTATTCAGGCCACTTTTTCGGCTAATTTATTGTTCAAGATCTACTAGTCTCTTGATTTTGAGACAGCTCATATATTTTACACCAATTTCTGGCAATTTTTTAATTTGTTCCTTTACATTGAGGTTGCCTAGACATCCAAAGCAGTCCTTACCAGTTTTCTTGCAGATATCTTCATCAAGTCCCTCATTAGTCCTCGTATTAATCACATCTATAATAAGCTCGATACTTATGACATGTATGCACCAGCTTGAGGGGAAGTGCTAGAATAGGAGTAGGAACAAGAATAATATATAGAATTCTACTTGGAAAAGATTATAATGCATCCTTGTTGTAAAAGGAGTCTAATGTAGCGTCTATAAATAGGAGTAGAAGTTTGGGGATTTTATTCTTAAATTTCACCTATTTTTAATTTTCTTCCTTTAATCTTCGTACTTTTGCTTCCACATTATTTTCTTGTTTTTCGTTCAAGTAACCCGATTCTTATCAATTTTGCAGACAATTCAATGATTGAAGGCCCACTTAAATAGTAACTTCAGTATTTTAATCTGTCTCAGGTACATAGATGTCAGGAAATGTGAAGGCATGTGTAACAAACTGGCAAGTACAGTGGCAAGGAAAAATATAGGTTTCTAACCCCAATGTGCATCCTATGGTCAGTTTGATCAGAAAGAAATCATTGGTGCTTTGAAGAAAGACCAGAAGCAATGTGTAGATTTAGATGTGTTTAACTGTTGAATAGTTGGTGTAATAAGAAAATTATTCATGATTTTATTAATGTATTGGACTTCACAGACTCCTTACATATTTAAAGGAGTAGGTCCATCATAATCTGTAACCTCTCAGAGCCTTCTTTTCGTCTTGGTACTGATTGGATTCACTTTTTTTTATTTGATTCATACCTGCGTAAAGGCTTTTCCTGATTAAGGAAGAAGACTAGAAGGTAGAACTCTGAACTGAACCCAAAGGCTAGATTCCATTTCTAAGTGATAGTTACTTTTTGGGGTTAGTCTAACTTCATTCTAGTTGGTAGGTGTGCGAGTAAGAGGATAATAAGCGAAACTATATGAACTTTAGTCTTTACAATTGTACCCTCCCTCCAGAAAATAAGGTTGAGCGTGCAAGGAAAGGTAATTCATATCTTTCTGATCACAAAAGACTAAATATTCATTTGGTTGCCGTAGTAATTTAAAGTGACTGCTATCTTACTGAATGAATTGGTCTACCATAACCTTCAAGATCACAGGCAAGGGAGAAGAAAAATAAAAATGATTTGGAAATTGCACAGAGAACCAAAAAACAGTGTTTCCCTATAAAATGGAGGCTAATTGCTAGACAACTGATGCAACACAGTCCCCCATGGTCTCCTAGGACCCTAAATCAAAGATTCAGTGATTTTTGAAGTAGCACAATATGTCAGGATATATAAAAGATCTAGACTGGATAAGCAGAAAGAATAGCTCATACCACCCTTTCCAAAACTGTTCAGTTTCTTCAAGTCTTGCTCTATGCGTATAACTGCAGTATAAGTGTTTGTCAATGGGTAATTAGAAGCATCAAAAGCCAACACCAAAAAAAATTATTACATCTAGAAAACCTGCATACTACTTACAAGTCTGAAAAAGAAAACTGAAAGACAGAACTCCCCCTTCCCATTACCATCCCTAAAATAAAAATAAAAAAAATAAAAGTAAAGAAATGCCATAAAATATACATGGTTACACACCATTTTTTTGAGTCATCATATTTCAATGTGCTGGGGATTGATACACAGGCAGAGTCAATATTTCTCAAAGAGCCTGATTTGATACTCCATTCAATCTGTAGATGCATAAAATTTCCAAATAAAAACATGAGAGCTGCAAAAGATCTAAGGGATAAGAGGAGCTCCTGTAAACTCAAATCCTAACAAAGTAGAAGCTACATAGAGGAAAAATAAGTATAAACCAAGATGTTTTCTGGTTATAACAGATAAATCATGCTATGTTAGAGGGGTAGGAAAAAGGTTTGTGAGTTAAACTCCACAATGTTATGGTGTGAAAGTTACTTAAGATGACAAGGAGATGTCATATGGAAAATCGTTCACCTGATTATGTGACATTGGTGGTCAGACACTCAAGACTGTATTTGTCAACAAAAAAATAACAAAAATAAGTGACTAGATTGTTTCCTCAATGACATGTACTTATTCTTTGATGAAGTAAATGATTTCATTGATGGCATCAAGAAGATTGCAAAATTACAAAAGATATTACATCCAAAAATAAAACTGAGCTAGCTCCATAGAAAAAACAATGTGTTATTTTTATTAAATTAGAAACAATTTGTTGTTTAACAGGCACAGGACACGAAGCGAACAGCAGTAACATGATATACATAGTCAAAATATAGACTATTGCAGAGTACTCCCTCTGATAGTGATTTTCATACTTTCATGGAAAATAATATTTTCGGGTTGGGCTGGGTAGATTGAATATAAACCAAACCCTACCTGAGAAACAATGCTACTTGACTAAAAACAAAATAATAAACTTTGTTCAATTTGATAAGAGGTGCGCAAGACTGATGTCAGAAATGGAAGGAGTTTTAAGCATTGGGTACCGCTTTTTCAGGGGTCGAGAAATGCTGCATTCTGTTCGATAGTATCTTCTGCATATGAATCAATGATGCCATTGCTGTACCCTGATATATTAGGAAATCAGTACATAATGAAATAAAAAGCATATCCTAACAAGTTAGAAAGATTGACAACCTCAACAACATCCACAACCACCAAGCCAGCCAAACTTGGAAGTGATTTCTTTGCAGCAACATGAACTGCAACTGCACCTCCCATACTGTGACATAAACAGAAAACTCTAAGCACCACCTCTTATTTGTGGTACAGAAAACATTTAACCCAAGCATGCAGGTGATCAAGATATAAAGCAAAAATAGTTAATTCACAGCAGGACAAAAAATTCTTTCAAGGGAAAACATGTAAAGGTTTTTTCCTTATTTCTTATGCTTGCAAACCATTTTCATTGTTGGTAACAAATATCTAGGAAGAAATGACAGGAATTCAGACCAACCAAAAAATGGAGAAAAGTAAAACAACAAAAGATACATTTCATGACTCTTCAAACTGGAAGATAAAATGGAAAAAGGCAAAGAAATGTGGCAAATCAATGAGTTAAAAATTCCAAGTAATCATCAGTCTGATCGTTGCGACAGAGATCGATTTGGTTTACAGACCACTGCTACACTAATACAAGTCATTCTGTTATAAAACTACTGAGCTAATGTAAAAAAATTGTTCAGGGAAATTGCATCCAAGTAAAAAGCTTTGTGCCTCTTAGCTTGCAGCTAGTTAGAAATGATATAACACAGAATCTTTTATTTAGCTTAACACAGCAGAGATGACTGCGAAGAAATCCTCCAAACATTTTGGCATGAACAGAAATGGCTACTTTAGATTTATGTACCAAGGCTGAATGCAATCTAAAGCGCTGTATATACAGTCTCCAAAGAATTGATCCTTTATTAGTCGTAAAACTGTATGATCCTGAAAACTATGTTTTTGATTAGCATATAATACTTATTTGGGACTGATCTCCTATGGGTTGTTCTGCTCCCAGCATCGCATACACCTTTAGTGCTGTAAGTAGATATTTATCTATTCACAAAGTTACTCCCAACGTAGTAACTAGTCAAATAAAGGCGTAAATAATTGAATATGAACTAACTTCATGAACAAAGTACAACCTGTGGCCAACAAGCACAATTGCAGGCGGAGCATCTCCGTACATGGTCTTCAAAACAGAAAACACATCACTGCATAGCCTCTGCAACCAATTAGTCCACCATAACATGGGAATTGGGGCAAAAAAAGTTTCTCAAAAGCATCAAATGCTGAAGCTCATAGTAGCAAGATACATGGTTCTTAGGTACCTCAATAGACAAATCTACATCATTTTGTGTAGATGTCTTTCCATGTCCTCTTAGATCCATGGCCACTATCCTAGCTTTCTCCTTAATTTTGCTTGCTGCCAATGCAAATGAGAGCCTGAGAAAATAAAACTGCATAGATTTAGCATACTGTTTTGAATTTCAAAATTGATGTTCAACTACTTCATAGCAAGACACAGATAGAGGGAGAGAGCAAGCAAAACCATTCACCAACAGTCTCTGTACCCTCCAACAGAAAGAAAATTTCCAAGCATCTTGAATTAACTAAGGAATTCACTAAATAAACTGACTAAATGGTATAAGAGCATGGACATCAAGATTTTTTTAAGGTCGTCTGACCTATAAAAAAAAGGGAGTCACTAAAGTAACTTCTTGAACAGAAGGCTACTGGCAAAGCAAGATACCTAGCATTCAAGTGAAAAATAAAACATAAAGTAGTTGCACTACATTTAATTTTATTCTCAAATCCACCACCTAAGTTTTTACCCAGCTCCTTGTCTTCACTAAGTTTCCTCACTTGTAAGATGAAAGGTTCCAAATATCCCCAAAAAGTCGGCACAAATTCCTCTTCCACGCAAGTTCTCAGCTAGAAGACACTTGAACTCCCAAGCCCATTCCCTTGAGAGTTGACACAAAGCTACAAAAAGATTCTTTATAGCACACCAAGCTTGTGACTATATAAAATACAAATTTGTGGCACAACCACAATAACAGCTGTGGACTTTGGGTTTCCCTTGTTCAACATCTCTTAGATTCTCTCAAGAATAGCTGATTGAGTCTTAGCTAGATCGATGATCTAGAAAATTGGCAGGGATAGGAACACAGCTTGGAGGACTACCTCCCTATGTCTTTAAATTGGCAGGGATAGAAACACAGCTTGGAGAAATACCTCACTATGTCTCTTTTTTTTTTATAACCGAGAAATCCCCGAGGGTTAGCTGGCACGGAGTTCAAAACTCGATGGTTAATGAGCCTACCTCCACTCTTCTCCACTTAAATACCTGGCATTTTTCTATGCTGTGGGAGGGTTCAAACCAGTAACGTGCGCCTAACCTACATATAATGGATGCCGTTTTACCACTAGACCGAACCCAAGGGCAAATACCTCATGTCCTTTAAAAAAAACTTATTTAGAATGAGAGAAACAATAGTTTGTTCCATACTAGTCAGAATGATGTTAGAAGTAACAAAAGATACTTCTTTCTTCATTAATTGTTCTATGTAAGCAGTGGATTTTGGCTTGTACATCAAGATACAGAAGTTATACGAAGGACAAGGTTCCCCTTCAAATGGTATAATCATATCATTATCCACCCTTAACCAAGCCATTCTGCAATCAAATTACTGTTTTCTACCAAAATGTGAGAACAAGGAAGTGCAAGCTTTCCTATTTGGCTCTTCCTGATTCCCCTTTTTCTTGATCTCTCTGGCATCTTCTGCAGTCAGATGATTCTTAAACAGTTGGCATAAGCACAGGGAAAATGAAGCAACTTCAGCACAGTATGCATCAAGTCAAACTAAACTACTATTATTGTAAATAAAGGAGTTGCTATACATCTTTTGCATCTTGTTTATAAGGTTAGGCCATAAAATTGATCCTCTCCTCTTCCCTCCAAGTCACTTGCTTCTACTCAGGCAAAGCTCCTTTTTTTGGGACTTTGATGTATTATTGGTCAATTAGCGCAAAAGGATTGCCCATAAGAACAAACATGCAGAGTGAGGAATACTCCATTATTTGGATGTCTTAACTCGGATTTTGTTTGGCTATGATTATTAATAAGAAGGTTGAAATTCAATATTTTCATTCTTTTAAGAGAAAATGTGGAAAAGAAGGGTTCAAATGTAAGTTGCTCCCATATCACTTTTTGTTTGTAGACCAAAGTGTCATAAGGATTAAAAGTTTTAAAAAAAAAAAATCATCAGGATTAAATGCCTTTGTTATGATCCAAATTAAACCATAAAATGGAATGTGGTTATACACTTTGTAACCACAACTGCTACAACAGAAACATAAGAAACACTAATAATTCGGATTAGATCTTAGAAAATTGCACCAGAATACCTACCCAGAATAACCACCACCATGCAGGCAAAAAATAACAGGCCCTTCTGTCCCTGCCATATAAACATGAAATACCTGAAATGACAAAGCAAATAAAAGATGATCTTGCTACTTGACTGCAAAAAGAAGAGCATAAAGAAATGCTGTTGTTGTTTCTTAGGGGGTGACAAAGTGCAAAGAGAAAAAATATTCACTAAGAAAATTCAACAGAAGTTAGCACAAACATCATCTGAATCTGGGATCTGAATGTCATCCTCTTGATCGAAATAACCTGACCAGTCTGAAGGTGCATATTTCTGTGAAGAAGTCCTGCAGAGATAATTAAGACAAAATCTTCAACCAAATAATACTTTAATATAACTAATCAAAAACAATAAATCTCTACACTTCTAGGATTCTGGCTTTGAATTGCAAATAGAGGCACCTTTATCTGACCTAAAGCACTAAAAGAACCCCCCATACTCCCCAACCCCCAACTTTTTTTTTTTTTTATGACAAGGGAAACCCGCAGCCGCGACCCTTTCAGTCCGCACAGGGTAAAAGCACCGCTCCTATGCAATAGCTTGCAAACCACATAGGAGAGGTAACCCGCACTAGTCATGCCCCGTACGACGAGCTCGACCCAGAAGGCAAATCCCTCTAATATGTTAGCATCAAGTAAATGTGCTTTTTTAATTAAGTAATGTAAATTTCATAAGGTGCACTTGGGAAGCGCATATATATTAACAGCAAAAGGCATTGAGTTTCCTCCGAACATTTCAAGAAATCTATGAAGTCTAAAAAAGAATTGCCATTTTTACATCAGTAGAAGTTGTTAACACTATAACAAGCTATACTAGTTTTCTTTAATACAGATTGAACTTTCAACAAGCAACAACTACAAGAATGTGAATCACATATTTCAAATCAAATTTATTAGAAACCCACAATTCATAAAGCACCCAAAAATTCAATTTTTTTAATTTGGGGAAATGAACTTACTGAATGGGAGGGCGAGTAGGGGCAGAAGAAAAGGCAGAAGGGAGATTGTGGGAATTATGGGTTTCTTCTGAGCCTTCTTCTGGAAGTGATGTAAGGTTTGATGAATCCATGATGCTCACTCAATGTTTGTTTCAAGATTGTCAATTGTGATAAATGTTAACTTTATTTTATTTTTTTTCACTCTTTCTGTGATTTGATGCTTTTGCGTTATGAAGATTTCCACATGATGTGTTGGGTAAAACTTTGCCTTTCTGTTTTCAAGCCTTTTAGCCCACTAAGAAGCCCACTCCATAGTCGATTGTGGTTAAGGACGTCAATGAGACAGTTTGGTCGTTTATTTTTTTAAAAAGTAAAAAAAAAATGGATATATTATAATGTATAGTTAAAATAAGATAGAAAGTACTTATACTTTTTGGATATTTTATAATGAATAACTAAAATTATAAAAAAAAAAAATTATATCATCTCACTAAGTAGCCGTTTGGTCATGCGATACCATATCATGAGATGGAATCAGCTTTTGGACATGCTATCTCACGCTGATTCCATCTCATGATTTCATATCATGGGATGGTATTTCATATTCTCCAAAAATCATGATATGGGAATTCCATATTATAATTTGAGATTTTTGCATACAAAAATTGACCCACAAGTTTATATTATGTTAAAACAACCCCACTTTTATATCTACTAATCATTTATTTCATATGTAAATAAAATTTATAATCACATCATTACATTTTAAAATTTATTATTCTCACAAACATAAATTTATTATTCTCACAAACATAAATTTATTATTACTTTAAATTTGGTGAATATAAATAAAAACAGAGGGAGTAATACTTTTTTGACTTTTCATAGTAAAAAATGTCTCTTTCAGCTACATATGAAAATATTAAAGCAATTTAATATGAAAAAAGACAAAATTGGTGATCTATGTTTGATAATCACTATTTTCAATATGTTTGATTTTTAGCACAAAATTAATGCACTGAAAATGTGTAACTGCACACAAGTGAAACAAGGCATGAATCATTATGGTATTGACACACAAGTGAAAATTGTCATAGTTTGTGCAGTGTTACATAATTATTTGTGAGAATACCAAATGAGTGATCAAATATTTATGGTCTATGAGAATGAAAATATAGTTGTGGATGATATTAACCAACAAATGGCTCAAAGTAACAATATTGATTCGTCTTCTCAGTCATATGATCGAGTAATGCACTCACTTTGCAAGGAGATACAATTACATACACTCACTTTGTAGCCTCTCAATAATACACACAAATACACTACATACGGAGAAGCACATAGGTTACAGACCTTCAAATCATGTTCTTCATAATTCGGTATACACCACAAGATACACATTGCAAAGCAAAGGAGCAATTTCAGGAATAAAAAAATGTTGAGTATATTCAATTTTCTGCATATTCTATTACAATATAATAAAGAAAAGTTCGAAATTTTAGAAAAAAATAATAATTGTATTACTAAATTAGTCACAGTGATTTTTGAGCTTTTTAAACTGAAAAAAAGAGATCAATAATTAAGAGAATGTAATTAAGAAATTTGTTTTAAGAAATTAATTATATGATATAAATAGGAACAATTACGAAAAACATCAAAAAATTGAGAAAAAAAAAGATAAATATCATTCTTGGCTTTAAAAGCATGTCAGATCTTTTCTCCTAAGTCTAGCTTTATTATACGTATGGATTGAAAAAAGCTTGATCAATTATCTAGTGTTTGGCCATAGATTCTCAAATATTTTTGGCAAGTCATTTTTGGGTGAAGTTTTACTATGCTTGGCCATATATTTTGAGAGAAATATTTGACTTTTTAAAAGAAATTAGTATACGTGCTCGCGCATTGCGCGGATATTATAAAATATAATTGTGTTTTGAATTAAATTTATGATTTATTTTTATTTTTTTCATTTGTTGTTATAATTTATTTAAAATGTTGTTGTTCCTTCTTTCTTTTTTTTCTTGGAAGATTGTCCTAACCTGACAAATAGTAGAATAATAAGCAGTAACTTGACTTAAAATTGTCAAAAAAATTATATTATGTGCATTAAATTGATTTTATTTAGATTAATTCGTATAACTTTTCAAGAATTAATTTCATAAGCAAGTCACATATAGTTAGTACTGATAAAACCAACTGAAATATAATACGAATTCAAAATAAATAATAATGTGAGGAGTAATAATTAATATAATTAATATTATTAAATGATATTCTTTTAACAGAAAACTACTCACAACAATATCAACGTTTATTTATGTTTGAATATTTTATATCAAATTTTTCATGGTTTATTCATAAAAAATTAAGTTGTTATTTTTATAAGTGGTAGATGTTATTCTTAATATCAAGTAGAATGCGTTATGGTCTCTGAGAAATAATTTATGTTTTTTCCCTATAAATTTACGAAAATGGCAATAATTCTGACAACCTCCCCACCCGAAATGAATTTCTACTTATATTTTCTATGTTAAATTTTGATGATTATGTTTTCTATATTAACTTTTTATGATTTCACGGATCTAAAGTGTGTTTAATGTGTTTGTGAATAGACCTTATTATGCAAAAAAAAAAAAAAAATCTATTTGAGCAACATATATAAAACCAATTTCTTTTGAAGAATTGTAAAAAAATTAGTAATGAATAATATAATTCGATCTTGTTGAATAAGAAGTTTTTCTTGCTTAATGATTACAATATTTCACTTCATATTTTACTACCGTTATGTGCATGGTCTTGAAATAACACTTATAATTTTATAGTTATGCATTTATCTTGAATATAGAGAAAAGAGAAGATCTTATTGATATGCAATAATTTCATGTGTGATTAGTTAAAAATAGTATATTATTTATAAGAATGATGAACCAATTTTTCCTATTAACTTTTAACAATTAATTCTTATGAAGAGAAAAATGGGTGGTTAAGAAGAAAGAAGGTTGCAATCATATTTTAATTCAAAATGTTCACTTAGAATTAATGACCGGGATAAAGATTAAATTTTAAAATGAAGAAGCAATAAGGAGCCAAAAATATAGGATAAATTATATTTAGAATAGCAACTTAGATTAATTCAAAATTTAAAATCAAAATAATTAAAAAGAAAAAGAAAAATCTAACTTCCACGACTAACCTAAAGTGGCGCATTTATTACTATTATTTTTTGTGGTGCTAACATGTGACATTATTTTTTCTCCTATTATATATAGATAGATACTTAATAATATTTTAAATCCTATTAAATTTTTAAAAAATTAGTATAAAGTGCCAAAACTAAATCCTATTGTATATTTTCGTGATTTTTCTGGTGGATTATATTAGGAATTTTTTGATTTTTTTTCTAATCCTTTTAATTTATTTATTGATTTTCCATCATCTTTAGTATGCATTTTTTTCCCATTATCTTTAGTATGCAATTTACAGAAATGTTCATCTTTATTTTAATAATTTTTTATTTAAGATTAAATAAAGAGGATTAGTTTCTCGTGTTTGTTGTTTTGAGTGGAGATAATTAAATTATTGTGTGACTTGTTAGGAATGTTACTGTATTAAAGTTCTAAATATTTTTTTAAAAATAAAAAATAAAAACAGTTTTCCCGTTACATGTGACTAATTTTATTTTATTTTTTAAATGATAAATAAATAAATATATATATATATACAAACAACATTATTTATTGGATTTAAAAATGAAAACAGATGATCAAAATAAATATCATACTCATTAGAAGTACTTTTATAGTTATTATTTTTATTCAATAATAGAGAGACACTTTAAATATGTGTAAATAAGAAATTTGGTTGATTTCTTGATGCAAGTATTTTCACCTATTTTTGTAGTATTGTCGTAATTAAAATAAAATGTGCTAGATATAAATATCAAATTTTGAGATTTTTTCAATTACAACAGGAGCATCAAATATTGTCAAAAAGTTTTTTTTATTTTTATTATTTTGTAAAATTTCATACTCTAAAATGCAACAAACTTCAAGATTTAACATATTCACTCATATTATGTACATTTTTTTTCTGATACACAAAATATATTATAACATAAGATATAAATGGAGATAGAAAATTAAATAGATATTCAAATACTTTTGAGACAAAAATAGATAATAAGATGTAACAAATAAACAACACATACCAAAGTACAAATTAAATTATATCTGAGAGGGAAAGTAAGTAGTTTATTTCAATTTATTTTTAATATCACATATTTAATATAGTCATGAATTTCTCATTCATTGATGTGTTTTATCATCTTCATATGAGATTTGAAAAGAAAGTTAAAAGATGCAGAAATAAAAAGAAGAAGAAAAACTCTTGTATTAGATATATTACAATAAAATCATAATCGTTAAGTTACTTTTCTTTGTAATTTAATTCATTTTTTATTATGAATATCTACTATATCATGCAAAAAAAATATTTGAAAAAGTTTAGCCTTGAAAAATACAATTTATTATATTTTGAAAGTGATTGTGACATGATAATGATGAAAATGATAAATTTTAATAGTGAAAAATATAGTTATAAGTAAATTTGATGTTTTGTGCTTTATCACTATTGGGTAAATCTTTCTGAAGTCTAGTCCATTGTGATTCAAGCAAGTCTTTATTCTCAGTATATCCTCAATATATTTGCATACAGAAAAGCATCAAATATTCATGCAACGTATCTAGAATCTAACAAAAAATTAACAATTTTTTTATTGAAACTGAATTATCCTCAATTGAAACTATAACTAAATCATACTTATCAAAAACGATCTCTTCACACGAGTGGAACGACACATATATGCATGCCCAAAACACTGCTTTGTTTGAGATATAGTGTGATTTTGATTAGTATGTAGAATGGAGATGCCTATTTTCAAAAAGTTTTTAAATTAGATTTATTTATTTATGAATATTTAAAGATAAAGATTACACGAGCAGTTGAGCAATTTTAGGTAGCTTCTTTAAAATTCAAATAAAAAAGTAACCACTTTGTCATGTTATATTTTTTTCTACATGGGTTAATTTAAATTTTTCTGTGTTCTTCATTTTTTTGTCCATGTTTTCCATTCTATTTTAATGTTTCCATTCTATTTAAATTCCATGTTAAAT